ATTTTATTTTTATTTTAAAAAGTTATATTAACGAATTAACACGTCCTCTCTCGCTCGAGGCTCATAATCCACGAGACACTGAAAATCACAACCTATTTTGATAGAAAATAAGCGAGAGAAAGTACAGTCTACTCTACTCTGCAATATGTAATACTACAGCCTCATTGCACGCAGACTGTGGAAATCATAATTATAATTGGATGCTGTGTTCCTCAGGCTGTACTTTTTTTTTAATTAATTCATTTGCTTCTGTTAATCCAGCAATCGTGTCGATCGATCAGTGCGGCCACTAGGAAGCAAGACCAAATTTCCACCTCAAGCATCATAGATCTGGAGTCACTATAAATTAATGCACTCTCGTTATCCGTAAATCACGAGACAGGCGTTCGGTATATTGCATCATGGTTAATCACACCATAATTATGTTTGGTTTCCTTATTACACTCTATGGCATTTCATTCGCTTCCTCTATGTTCTACGCGCCTAATGTGTCCAGCTGTCACGTCTTATTAACCCGTCCTCCCTAGTATCCTACTCATACGTCGATACAATTCATCTCATCTTCGAGTGACCTCACCATCAGACTCTCACTGTTATATTCCGCTATTATACCATATATATGTAATTTCATAATTCGAACTCTTTTCACGTATACCAATGTGCTATTGTAGGTCATGCGGTCTTCACATTTCTTTAGTTATCGATTAGCATCCCTGACTATGTTTCTTTAGACTGCTGATATATACCTTTAACACTTATGCTACATTCCAAACTCTTTTCTATGATATAGAGTGTTTTATTATACCTCTATTCTTCTGCAACAATCGGCGCACATAGCCATGAGGATATTATATACAGATTCATCAGTTTTTAATTTAACATTCTTAGTTTACTATGTGGTGCAAGAAAGCCTAATCGACTCCTACAGGGCTTGAACACTTTTTGCCCATTCAGTAACGACGGACAGATCAGGTTTGGTGTGCCACGGAGACGATGGAACAAGTGGAAAATTCTGCAGAGAAAGGTTAAAAGAAATTTAAATGGCACGGAAAGAAGGCCCAGCCTTTAAAAAGCAAGGCCACATTAAGGCATGTGAGCTCAGCAAGAGATTGTTACAGAGAAAACCAAGATATACTTGCGTCATACCGATTATTGACCACACATAATATTTTGCGCTTGGTGCAGAGACTTACTCTCGACATAGTCTGGTCAGTCATATCAATAACAACTATTCTGTCTAACCAAAACTTAATTTCAGCTGGTGAATTGTTTGGCAATTTTACTTTGTATTACCTCTAATGAACTAGTAAAGAATTTTGTTATGATGATTAAGGATGCTTATCATATTTCAGTGACTAGCCAGGTCATCCTATTCACTCTACTGTCGACATTTTGATAATTCGCAATACTATACCATTCCTGCGCCCTTGTAATAAATATGCAAGGATCTATGTATAGGCCACGGTATTAAGAGGAATAGGGCATGAACTATCGCATAGGTAGTTGACTTATTGCTTGCGAGCTATTTATAGGCAGGACATGAGGCAGCTTATGAAACCGGCAGTGATTGGATCTTAATACCAGACCTATCGCCAATTTTGATTTTAAATAAAAGAATTATCTCTCACTCTCTGTTATCCATATATATAGAATTTTTTTATGCTCAGCTATAATATCAGCCAAAACAACCAATTAGGGAACCATGTAACTTGAACCCATTTGATAGCGTGGGCAGCTTATAATGGAATGTGGAATAAATATACGAGAGGGAAAGTTCGATATGTGGTATACTTTAGAGGAATATCAGTGCCCTTTATTGTTGTAAGATGCAGGAGGCTGCACACACTTCCCATTTGCAGGAGTGGCGCACGCTAACGCCTCTGACGAAGTGGACCTAAAGTATACCTAAAAATATCCTTGCGCATTCGATGAATCGCTATTGTGGGGCAGCTGCTGTTTGTTCGTGTGGGGTTTGTGGTGTGTTTGTGCCTGGTTTGATTGTGCTGGGTGTATATGTGTGTGGTGTGTTGGTTCGCACGTTTGCAGGTGGTATTGTGGTGCTTGTCGGGTTTTGATTGTTAGTGGTAAACCGTACCCTGCGCAGGATTGAGCATCTTGTGCTTGGTTATATGAATCCTTGTCTGACGCTCTCCCCTGTCTTGAATATGTGGAGGATTTTTTGTTTTCATGGGGAGTCGCAATATAATGACAGATTCCGTGTATATTATTTATATTTTACCCCTTTCCTTGGTACCAATCATGCCCTCCGTTGCTGTCAGGGCCAAGAATGTAGGGCTTTGGGGGTTTCCACGCAATAATTTCTTTACAGTTTGATACTAGAGAGGGAGAATAATCCTTCAATACCAAAATCATGGCAATCTGTTTTGCATCATTGTTGTGTAAAATTACTGTTGCTGGGAAAAATATGAATGATATATATGTATCAGTCACTGTAGTATCTAATGCAGAGGGCTATGCCCCCTGCATCCCTCTCCTAGGGGCTACTACCCCCAAACCCCTGCTATGAAAGAAAAAGGATTCTCCACGTATTCACAACAGGATAGAGTGTATGACCGACAAATGGAAGCACACGATGCTGAGTCTGTCGGATGCTTTATGCTGCCATACTTATGTGGTGGATTCTTTGTTGTCCAGGGCCAGGTTGGGGGGGATTGCAGGTGGCACAGCCTTGCATTGATTATATATTGACCAATTTTCTGTATGTTATTTGTAATCTACTGTGTAATTTCCCTGGTACCATGTGGCATTCATTGCGACCCATTTTGTTAATTTATGATGTTATTCTTTTCCTGTGCAGATTATTTCATGTATGAGTGAGTATAGTTATTAGATTTTCACTAGATTTTCCCAATCTCAATGCACCATATAGAGGTATACTAAAGTATTACTTACCCAATTTTTCTGAGAAAAATTAGTTTTTTCAATGTGCTTTGAAAAAAATTCTATAAAGTCGGCACTGATGGGGCATTCTTTAATGTACACAGTCCGGTCCTCAGTAGGAAATGCGAGTTTGTATTTCAGAGATTTTTCATGGTGTGATAATGTGGCACCTGTCAACATCTATTATATTATACTACTTCTATTTCCACACCAACAATCCTTTTCAGACAAATTAGGAACCAGGGTGGTTAAAGAAAAGTTTTTCTGATGCAAGTAGACAAATATTTATTTAGTGTTGATGATGCTATTGTAATTTGCACAAAAGAAATTTCGCAAAAAGAATAGTGATAAAATCTTTAAATTTGTGTGCCACTGTTGGACTGTACATTGATAGCATTCACAGTAATTCATAGAACTTCATCCTTTACAGAAGAATAATCAGCTAATGTAGATAAACATATAATTGATATAGAGTATGCTTTTGGGCCATGTTTTTTACAGAATTATTGCAGTTTAGTATGATTTGCTTGAAAAATCTTAGTAAATAAGATGAAAAATTAAAAATAAGTTTGTACAATACGTTTGGAACAGATGCGCCATATTTATAGTGAAAATATTATGGATGATGATGGTGATTTAGAAGCAAACATGAACAGACAGTCTGTTACACCAAGAATAAAACTGAATTATGCATTATGATTATTATTATATTTGGCATAAAAGATCATATAACTTTGACTTGTATTTTGAGAATATACAAATAACTTAGGAATGATAAGAAGTAGGTGCTATTATTGAGTATATCACCATGCAATAGCTGGAAGGCTGTGTCTGAGCAACCCAACTCAGTAGGTGGTTGCATTATTTCTTTAGACAGGGTAAAAACTGCTTTTGCACTCTAATTTACTTTTCTTTGAAAAAAATGCTGAAGCCACAAATTATGAGGGTTGTACATATTTGTATTTCAGAGTATAATGATGTGTAAAAGTGAGAAACAAGGCATGAATTAACTGCCTCTTTGTTTGGGTAACAGCCAGCTCCTTTTATCAGGAGACTACCTTTTTGTTAAGCACACAAATAGGTTGCGTGAAGAATTAAGAAATCTTGTGCAACTCACCTGATTTTTTGCATTAGTACATCAAATTTTTATGGTGTCTGTAACAAAGTTTTCAGCCTAGTATCTCAGTTCTGGAAAACCAATGAAAAAAATAACTGTGGCTTATATGTTTACACACACTGCCTAATAGTATCCTCAAATTCTGAATAGTGCATATTGTTTGGTTTGTTGTTTCTGTGCAGCTAACCGATGTGATGGCATTGTGCCCCATACATTGAATAATCTCTACTCTTTTTATATTTATATGAAAACAAGCAGTCAATATGTGGTAATGAAACTTCTTTTTAAAAAGTAAGCTGATACACTGGAGGAGTATATTAGGTATCCTATGTTCCTTTCTTGATCCTGGTAGTCTTCATTTTTGGTGGATGAGACACAGAACCTGAAGGGTTGAAAATAAAGGCAAATTGTTTATTTTTTATGCCAACTGAAAGTGTATTTGCAATGCATTCAGTACATGACAACCTTTAAAAAAAGAAAAAAATAAGAAGAGTGACTGACATGATGGTAGTTTCTGGTAGTTTGCAAGGTATTCAAAGATGTCTTATTTACCATCATTTACAGAGGTGTTGAATGTATTGTATCAAGTGATTCAGATGTTTTCATGTTATTCCTTGGACTTTGCACTAAACATCATGCTGTATATTTTGCAATGTTTATGCTTTTATTCAATAAGGGGTTGCACTTGTAACCTCTGAGAATTTCTTTGTCTTTATATATATATTATATTATTATATAATATATATATATATATATATATTATATATATATATATATATATATATATATAATACATACATATATACATATATACACATATATATATATATATATATATATATATATATATATATATATATATATATATATATATATATATTGTTAATCCTTTATTTCTCATTTTCCCATCCCTAATTTTTACCCCAATTTAGATGACATTTACCTGTGATTTATCATTGTATTATGGGAATTTGATACCAAAATGATGACACAGGCCTTCACATTCTGCAGTATTTTCAACGTCATCATTGACTTCTTTATGCCTGTTAGTTTGTTATTTTTATTATTTGTTGTAACATTTAAAGTATATTTTTATTCTCAGAGATTAAGGAATTTTGTAATTGCTTTCAAAGCTTATATGTTTGAAGTATTAAAAGTAATTCTTGAGGGAATAAAGTAATTATAGTAATACATAATGTGTCAAAGCCATATTAGTCTGTAAAGGTAATTACCATTAGGAAAGACGTAAAGGTAGGGGAAAAAAATGCTTGCGTATCATCTGTGGAGAAATATTTGAGGTGAAACAGTGGGATTAATAGATCTAAATAATACATCACAAATAACTGATCTATAACTAAAGCTTAAGAACTTTCTGTTGTTGAGATTTTTTTTCTTCTTTTCTTTCTTTCTTTTTTTTTTATAATCATGTTGTGTAATTAGTTTTTTTTTTCTTCTTCTTTTTTGTCTTCTACTGTTTTGCTTTGTGAGAGTGAAACATTTTAGAGAATACATATAATTTCTAATTGCAGGACTATTAAGATATGTACCAGTGACAATAAGGTCTCCGTGGGTCTCTCTACTACTACTATTATAAAATGCTATAAAGCTTGTTAAGGAGAAAATGTTTTGCTAAGATGATGTCTGGATCTCTCTCTTGCTCATTCAGCTCATTGATTTATCTTCTTGATTTATTTCTTTGTATTTCAGATGCTGGTACCTGCTGATGACTATTATGATGCTGAGAGAGAACTCTATACAAGTATTGTACAGTCTGCCAGCACAGCTATGTCCCTCATAATTGACAAATACATTTGCCTTGCCAATGGTTTAGCGGCCCCTGACACAGACATCGAGGACTGCTTTGGTGGCAAGAACAAGAAGAAGCAGAGCCTCGTGAAGTACCTAGAGGATCATGAGCCCAATGAAACTACTTTCAGTCAAACAAGGACTCACTCCCTCAAACCTCAACCTGCACTCCAGCCCAAAATCTGCACTGAGGAAGATATTCAGAGGGAAGTACAGGAAACCTTGCAGAGGAGGAAGTCCCAGCTTGGACTTCCGGATGACTACGAGGTGCAAGAAGTCCAAGACACGGAATTGGATTTGGAGTCTGGTAGTGATCTTAGTGAAGTTGAAGATGAAGGAGATATCAAGGATGTTGTTTCCAGCAAGCAAGCCAAAGGTAGGAGGAAGAAAAAGAACAGATCAGAAAGGAAGAAAGAAATTCTAAAAGGAGAGACACAGGCCCAGAATCGGAGAGTGAGAAAGAACAGGTTTTGCAGCACCATGAATGAAGAAGCTTTGTTTAAGAATGCTTATAAAGAGGATGAGGAAAGAAGTGAGAAGGTTCAAAAGGAACCAGCAGTAAATGAGAGAAAGCAGAGACATGTTTTGGATGGGCCTAAGAGCAGCAAAGCCCATTGCAGACAAATCACAAATGTGAAAAAGGTGAAGGAAAAGAGTACAAGCAAGCCAGAAATGGCAAACACAGATGGGCCGCTTGCATCGGTCTTGCCAGAGGAGCTTGATCATGGGGCTCTTCTTGTCACAGATATGCTGGATACAGTTTTTATTCCACCCTTCACATCCCAGGAAAGACAGAAAACTTTAGTGAAAATAGAACAGAGATTAGGAAAACATGTGGTGGTCTTCCATTTCAGCTTCTTGGGTGGAAGAGACATTGATGCTCAGGTGGATGCTTCCTGCAGCGATACTAGAGAAACTCCGACATGTCCAACCCTGAAGGATGGAGACTTGGAAATGCAAAGTAAAACAGCAGAGGAGACCTCAAAGAAGACTTCGAGACACCATGAGATCACAAGTTGCACAGAGAAAGATACTCTCAGTGAAAAGAACAAAACAGTAAAAAAGAAAAAGGAAAAGACAGTGCCACCAACAAAGGTGACTGAATGCCACATCTTACATGATCCCAAGACTTCAGATGCTCACTCAGATAGAACAAACAGAAGAAATATGCAGAAAAATATTTTTAAGGAAAAGTCTTTAGGTGAAGTGAGGGTAGATGATTTGCCACAAGAGATGAGGAGGTCAAGGAGGATGTCTGCTTTATCCAGTCAACTTACTGAGAAGTGCCAAGAGACACCAGAGCAACATGGGCCATCTTCTGAGCAGGGGGAGATAACTCATCCCTCTCTGGACACTGGGAAAAATACAGAGCCATCCTCAGAAGATCACAAGAAAAGAAAGAGAGGTAGACCAAAATCAAAATCTCATGTTGTAACTTCCTCTACAGTACCAGAAACAGACATCAAAATGAGAAAGAGGTCTATTTCAGACCAAGTGCGCAGACAGTTGAGATGTTTGGAAAACATGTTCCTATCAGAGGAGGAAAAGTTAGCAAAAGAGACCAGAAAGAAAGAGCAAGAACTTGTAATGGTGCCTAGTGTGCCAGAAACCTTACAGTCATTAAAAGAAATCAAGCAAACAGTCAATGAAATATCCTTAGAAAAAGGGAATGGTAAAAAGTTCAGAAGAGAAAATGTGGATACACATGAAGATTTAACAAGCAGTAACAAAGAGAACAAACCTCTTTCCGTAAATCCTGAAAACGTTCCAAAGCTGACATCTACTTCAACAGATAGCGAAACTGAACCTCATTTACACGAGAAGAAGCAGAAGCCCAAAATTCGTAGGGTGTTGCTAAGTAATGGTCGAATTGTTTTCAAGTACAAGATGGACAGTGAAAAGGAAATGTGCTCCCAAGATTTACCACCAGAGAGTGTAAAAAACATTTCTGAAAATACAATTGATGAGGGACAGACAGCTGGGAGTATCCTCGGCAAGTTATCTGGAAATTTATGGCAGAAGAGAATATGGCATTCAAAGCAAGAGGAGAGTATTATAGCTGGTATTGACCCTGTTAAGAAAAAACGGAAGAGCTTGTCAATGAGACAAAAACATAAGGGTCTTAAGGCCTCTGACTCCATGCAGCTCAAGTGGAGTAGCATGATAGCAAGAAACAGCACAGTGGAACTCTCAAGCATCATGGAAGACACCACAGTCTCGGTTATCCATCCCATGGGAAAAATGAATGACAGAGCTAGAAAGCAGGAGGGAGGGGGACCTGGTGTGACGCAAAAGTGGAAAATGCTACCACTCCCGGAGCATTCAACACAAGAGGCCAGGAAAGGAATCCAACAGAACCCTTCTCAAACATTTGTCAAACCACAGGTTTTCCCTCATGATGCTAACGACTTCAAGAAGGTTAACAGAAGAAATGCAGAAGAGAGTCTCAGGGAGGCAGAACAGTCAAAGCTCCTCCAGCTCTACAACGTCAAGAAGCCCATGACGTCAGTGACTGAGCAGATGGAGCAAAGTTCCAGTTCTGATGAGGAGACGACTCTCCTGACAGTGGAAAGCTCATCAAGGGTAGTTGGGCCTTTCCACAGTTCCCTGACCACAGCCATTAAGCTTAGGGAACAATTAAGGGACACTTCAGATCAGGTGAATTTGTAGTCTTATTATTTTTGTTGATTATTTTGATATCCGATATAGGATTAATACAGATTGATTTACATAGTAAATTTTAAATACATAGAAATAGAGATGGTTTATTAAAGATGTCTTCAAGAATTTGTTACAAAATTAATAAAGTTGGGTGTATTACCAAGTTTGTATTTGAAAAATATTATTTTTTAGAGTCCTTCTTTTCTTTAGATTTAGTTGATAGATATTACTCAAGTTTCTGTGGTATAGCTATTATGTAAAACAGATTTGTAAAGGATTATTAGCTCCTCAAAAGTTCTTAGTAAATATCTTAGATTATTCTAATGTTTCATTGTTAATACATTAGAATGTTAGTACATATATATAGGTTTAAGCCTTAACCTGCGTTTATATACATAGTTGTCATTTTTATGCATTTATTAGAATTATACTTTTTCTATCAACAGGCAGTTCAGGTGAATAGACCCACTGCAGTGAGTGCAGCTGACAGCAACTTACAAAATGAATCTGCAGTAAGTAAAGAATAACATGCATAAAGGCATACACCTGTGTTTTATCATTGCCACTTATGTTAGAAAATACATAGAATTTTTTTTGTTTCTGATTTTTAACAAATAGCACTTGGTATAAGTACATATGCACAATCCACTGTACTTTTGTTTTCTCAATTTTTTCCTTCGTGTAGATGGCTCCACGTCACAAATAGTTAATTACTAGGCCTACTTGACATCACCTGCTAACCCCTTTCTAAGAATTTTCAGGAAAAAATGTTTTTTATATCCAATACTATTATTATTGTTGTTATTAATGTTATGATTATTACTGGCATCATTATTATTATGGTGTGAACAATACTTATAGCAATACAAGTGAAAACTTTTCTTTACGAAATCATTTAGTATGGTAAACAGCTGTGATCTGGTAGGCCTAGTAATTGATTCTCACATGACAAAGCACTTCTAAAACCATCTTTGAGTCAACAAAATTCTTAAACTAAAATTATAGTTGAAATGGCATGTATTAACATGTTAAAATGAGATTTTCTAACATTCTTTAACATGCAGTTTTGAGAAATGATGCATACATGTCCAAAGGTGTTCTCAGACCAGTTGTCGGAAAATGTTTATTAGATGTTTCGTTATTTTAAGCTTTCATCTATAACACAAGCATTGGTATGTTTTCATTATTATACTGCAATCTCGTAGTGTATGAACCTGATCCCCGCCAGTGATGTCATTTGCACGTTTGCCATACCTGCTGTGAGTCAGTTACTAGTATTACCCTTTTGAACTGTTTACTCTTTTTCTGTGAGTTTCAGAAATATTTTCTTTTATCTTAAAGTTAATGTTAATAGTAATATAATAATAGGTGATAATGTTAATAGCTTTATGATAATTATGATGTCTATGATAATGATAGCAGTAATAATATTGATAGCTTTATTAAAAAGAAAAAGCAATTGAGACGAAGTTGGGTGAAATAATGAGGTCTACTAATTGACTACTCCGAGGACTTGTTGAGTTATCTATGTGTAGAGGTATTTCACAGAGCAAAACCACAATGAATGCAACATTTTCCAGGCAGCATGGGATTGATGTGAACATTTATATGTTTATATTATAAGTAAAATTTTAAACTAACAAAACATTTGATAAACTCTTTTTTGGACAGTTGGTCTGAGAACACCTTTGGACATGCTTGCCTTTAAATGTAGCTTTTTCCAGCATATGTAGTTACCTTGTAATTTATCATTATCCTTCAAAATGAATAATCTCTCAGAAGTAAAGAAAAAAAAGGTCAGTGAATAATTGTGTGTGTGTGTGTGTGTATGTATGTATGTGTATGCTTGTTTTAATATAGATTTTCTTTATAAGAGAAATCCTTGTGATGATAAGCATGTGAGTATTAAAAGCTTAATGCAGGGCAAAAATCTGAGAAATATTTAAGATGGAAAAATATCAGTGTTTCTGTAAGTTGTTTGATACTATTTTGACAAATGTAAATGTTTCGATCCCTCAAGGTGTTTGATACTCTTTTGACAAAGGAAAATGTTTCGATCCCTCAAGCTCCCCCTCACTTACAGGTACGGAGAACCACAAAGAGCTTCTGGGAACTAGATGACAGCGATGACTCTCTGCCGAGGCAGACATTCAAAGCCACGTCCAGACCAGAGAAACAGAGGCACATATCCCACGACCCTGCGAGAGGGCAAAAGCATCTCACCTCTATGGAACAGTCGAGTCATTCCTACAGTATCCTAGGGAACCTTAAGTGGCCCAAGAGAAAGGAGGAGAAGGTTAATATTAAAAAGGTAAGGAAGATTGCACAATAGCCATGAATTGAGGTTCGTGTAATAATAATTCTTTAAAAGATAAAGGTTATATATATATATATATATATATATATATATATATATATATATATATATATATATATATATATATATATATACACACACACACACACACACACATATATATACACACACACACACATATATATACACACACACACACACATATATATACACACATATATATACACACACATATATATACACACACATATATATACACACACATATATATACACCACACCACACACTATACACAACATATATATACCCACACATATATATACACAACATAAATATACACACACATATATATACACACAACATATATATACACACATATATAACACACCACAATATATATATATAATTCATACCAATATATACACACACAGATATATATACACACATATATATACACACACATTATATATATCATGCACACGCATAATATGCACTACGCATATATATGCACACGCATATATATGTGCAGCACGCATTATATGCGGCACCTATATATGCACACGCATATATATGCACGCGGGGCAGGCTATTATATGGCATCACGTCATGATATATGCACACGATATATATGCACACGGATTGGCATACTATTATTGCACCGCATATATATCACACGCATATATATGCTACAGCATATATAATGCCACGCATATATATGCACACGCATATATATGCACACGCATATATATGCCACTGCATATCATCATGCACCCCCCCACGCATATATATACTGCACCACTCGCTTATATTCGCACAGCATATTTTGCCACCGCATATATATGCACCACGCTATATATTGCAACACCGCATATATATGCAACACATATATATGGCAGCACGCACTATATATGCACCCGTCATATATTGCCACGATTATATCGCACCACCCCCCCACATCGCATTCATACTTATCAACTCATATATACTGCCACAGATATATACTGCACCACCGTCATAATATATCCCACGCATATCTTATGCCAGCATCAGATACCCTGCCACACGCATATGATCGGCTGCCACACGCATAATACTGATTGCCACGATATATATGCCAGCGCATATATAATGCAAGCGCATACTATATCTGCAGCCAGCCGGCAATATCCATATTGCATCCCGCATCTAATCTCGCCCACGCACTACTATACTGCAGCACGACTATACTACCTGCAACGCATATTATGACCCAATACCGCATATTATATGCACACGGCATCATATACCTCCATCAGCTTTGATCACGCTTATATGCACACGATAATATGCCACGCATATATATGCACACGGCAATATATGCACCGAATAACTTGCAACGCATATAATGCCACGGCAATATATGCACACGCATATATATGCACCAGCCATCATATATTGCCCAAGCATATATATCCACGATATATATGCATCAACGCATAATATGCCACCCGCATATCATATCGCGCCACGCATATATAGAACCAGCCCATTATACCACGAACACCATATATACACACACGCCGCTATATACACATGAATACAAGATGATTCCCATTATACACACAGCATATATTTAGCACACGCAATATATAGACATTACGCATATAATACAGCACACGCGATATAGTGCGCACGCTATATTCAGAACGACAGACGCAT